CAAAATTGATACACATATCTAGACAGCATAATCATAACCAGCAAACCATAACCTTGTCTTAGACACCTCATTTGACCCCCTTTATACAAGATTTGGTGCCACTACAGGACTTTGGTTGCATCCATGTTCTATATGGTCCCAGATTATATCAATAACGTCACATGAGGATCTCAGTGGCACTTAACTTTGGAATTAGGCACCTAAAGTGAGAGTTAGGTGCCACGTCCTTTGTGGATCTGGGCCCAAGTCACTTTGGATCTGCTCCTGCTCCCCTTTAAGTCAACGACAAAACTCCTATTGACTTGAATGACACAGGATGAGTCCCTCAAATTCAGTTTCCTATTGCTTTACCAGTTTTTAAGCCAGGTCAAGATTTTGCTCCTTACTTTTTAGTTATTTGTGAATAGGGTGTGGGGAAGGGTCTTTGTCAATGCGGCTAGACAGATGCTGCACAGGGTGTAAAAGTTGCAAGAAGAGGCTTTCTGGATATATTTAATAATACTTACCATGTGTGCTCTTCATCTCCGGCTCTCAAGATGCTTTATAAAGGTGAGCAAACAATATTGTGCCCATTTGACAGGTGAGTAAACTGAGGCACAGTGCAAATAAGTCAAGGAAATACAGTGTCAGTGACGGATGCAGAAATAAGGCCCAGGTTTCATAATGCCCAATCCAATGCCCTCTTCAGAGCAACAAACTTATTCCGGTTTTTATATTTTGAAATAACATGTAGTATAATCCAAAATCATAGATTATACTTTCCCTTGCAGATCACAAAAACCACAATCAAACAATAGACACAATTCAAGATCCTATTTGCCAGCATTTACAGGAGCATGCTAATGCAAACTTAGGTACCTTTCAGAGTGCACCAGCATGGTCTACATGGGCAGTTAGAGTGCAACACGTTAGCATGCTTTACAAATCACACCTCTCTAACATGTTTTGCAAGCATCAAGTAGACAAGCCCTGACTCCTGCATCAAGCCTGTTACACAGCTCTGAAGGCAGGGGACCAGCATGTTCCACGTCTCATTGGACTGAGGTCAGCTCAGTGCTTTATATCAGGGCCTGGTGGTTTGAATAATCAGATATAGCAGTCAAGACTTATTTCCCAAACCAAATGTATTGAAAATAGATTGGAATGTCTGTTATTGCCAAGAAAAAAAAATGGCTTTACTGATCCCCTTTAAGTTTTCCCTTTGCCAGTTGTACAGCAGCGTTAACACACTGGATACCTTCAGTGCTTCAGCAATCCCTTGGCCAAATTTAGGGCCCATCTCACCCTAGTGATCTCTCTGATCAGTTGATTTTCCCCTCACTTGCTTGGAACAGCCTGAATAAAGAGGCAGTGTTTGTTTAGCTTGCAGGGCAGATTCAAAGCTGAATTCCAATCTGAGCTGTGCAAATGCAAGGTGGGTTGTATGTTAGTTCCATTGCACAAAGGTCATGTATAGCCAATTAACATTTCCTACTGGTTAAGTACAAGTCTAATGTATGAAGTCAATGGTGTAAAAAAAAATCAGTATTATTGTTGAAATACCTGGCCAATCAGCGAGCTGCTGCATTCTCAGTATAATTCACAGGACATTTATTTACTGTGTTTGAACAAAACAGTCTGAAAATGAGCTGCAGCATGTGACTGCTGCAAAGAAAGAAAACAGGGTGATTGGGTGTATAAAGAGGGGAATTATAAAGTGAAGTGAAGGTGGTAATGAGGCTGCTGTATAAGGGCCTCATCAGGCCTCATTTGGAATATTGTGGGAGTATTAAAGCTTGAGTTTAATACTTAAAAAAAAAGACATTTGAATGTTAGAAAAATGTGTCTAGAGAAGTGAAGCAAAGCTAATTTAGGGTATGGGGAGAATGTCTTTTTAGTAAAGAGTTTACGAATTGAACACATTTATCCTAGAAAGAGAAAGGAAGCTTAGTTGCATACCTAATTAAGGTTTACAAACATCTGACATGATGCCACAAAGGCTCGAATAAGAATCTGTTCACGCAATGTGAAAAGGACAAGATTCAGAGTGTAGCCCATATTAACCCAAAAAAACAGGCAACAAGGGGAATGGACACAGGATGCAGAAAGAAAAGTTTAGGTTGGATATCAGAAATGACATTTTCGCCCAGAGAGTCTTTAACATACACAATAGGACTCCTAGCAACCTAACGGGGGCCATTAGTGCTAATGGACTGAAATCTAGGATGAGGACTTCTTCAGTAATCAATAACATTTCTAAATACACCTGCTTAAAAAGGAGAAGGCAGGAGTGGACTAAAATGATTGATGGTTCTCTCTGTTCAAACATGTTTTTGTTCCCATTTATACACACCAAAAATCCTAACTACTTTATTTACAATGAATGAACACGATTCTGGTTAAGAGCCACTGAAGTTTTATTGCATACTCATAAAAGTCCCCAGAAATGATTCAGCCCCCCCTCTGCACCTACTTTCATGCTGACCTCCCTGCATGTCTGGGGAAAAGGGGAATACCAATGGTGAGAGGAGGACTGGGAAAGATGGGAGTGGGACAAATCAGCGCTCTCCACTACTGCTATTCTGGCTTGTGTCACTGCCATAGGTAGTGGGGTGATGCTGCTATAACTTAGGGTAGGTCTACACTACCCGGTAGTTCGGCGGCAAGCAAATCGAACTTCTGGGTTCGACTTATCGCGTCTTGTCTGGACGAGATAAGTTGAACCCGGAAGTACTCGCCGTCGACTGTAGTACTCCAGCTCGGCGAGAGGAGTACCGTGAAGTCGACGGGGGAGCCTGCCTGCCGCGTCTGGACCGAGGTAGGTTCGAACTAAGGTACTTCGAACTTCAGCTACTTTATTCACGTAGCTGAAGTTGAGTACCTTAGTTCGAATTGGGGGGTTAGTGTAGACCTGCCCTTAGAGCATCCCCTTGGCTGCATAAATTATGTCCGTTGCCATTTTGCCAACACTGGGAGGACACAAAGGTGGTTTAAATTCTTGCCTCAGCCTTCTGTGCTTTGTCAATGTACAGCACAGAATCTGACCCACGGACTGGAGAGATTTACTTAGACCTGCTTTGCAAAAAATCAGATGCACAACTGTGCACCTAACCTGCTCGTGTAGTTACCATGATAAGATACACACACTGGCTATCCACATTAATTACAAACACACCAGGACACTTGCAGATACAAATACCTGAATCATGCTGCGTGTCCATGAAATTGTACACATAATTGCACAGGCATTTCTGTATGCACAACTGCACATGTAACTTTTTTGGAAAAAAAAAACATGCTCATTGTGTCATCTAGTCCCCATCTCCCTGCTAGTACAGGCTTTTTTCTCTACAGTATCTTTTCAAGGGCTTTGTCTAGTTGAGTATTAGGTATCTCACAAAATGATGAACTGCATTTCTAAGGGTAATTTTAACACATTAAGATTCAAAGCTGCTATTTTTTTCAAGCAACCTTAAGTTTAGCCCCCACTCACCGAACTTAAGATCACTTTCTAAATGCACTGTAACACGTGGGTTAAAATGATGCTTAAAGAATTCTGATTTCACTGTAGTTTTCATATAGGCAGCCTGAAACAGAAGAATGCTGCATATGTCTGTCAAAGTGAAGTTAAAAATCTCTCTGTGTTAGTCAGACTAGGGTGGGATAATTCCATATTCAGTAATCATTCTGTGATGATGATTATTCACAAAGGTACATCAAGTGCTAATTTATACATCTGAATTATCTGCTTTTAGGGCTCCATCCTGAAAGATGCTTAGTAACTTCTGGAACTGAAGTTCATGGGAACTGAGGGCACTAAGCATCTTGCTGCATTGAGCTTCTATTACAAAATATATGCCTGACACTCTATCCTCAGCTGGTATGAATCAGCACCGTTCACTTGACTTCAAAAGAGGTGCACCAGGCTTCACCGGGTTCTGGCTCTTGATTTTTAAAAGAGTGCTGTCCTGATTTCAGATATTGTCATAATAGCTTATGTTTCTCCTCCCATATTCATTTAACACTAGAAAATGTAAACACAAATAATATTTTATTCATTTCCATATTGTTTTGGAGGTCACATTTTGCAATACATTCAGCTAAGTATGAAATGTAATACTCAAAGGGAGCAGCATTTTCTTTAAAAAACTATAGTCCAGCTAAACATTGCAGCTATCATTAAATGCACCAAAGTTTACAGATCAATGTCGTAGTGACAGATGTCAGAGCACATCAAAACTTTTTGGCACAAAAATGCTAGGCTCTAAAACAAATTAGCATTCCTCCAGGAGAGATGTCTAATTGTTACACTGCTGATGCAGTCGCTATAAAAGATTTAAACACCAGGTTTCATTATTATAGGGAGTAGAGGGAGGGGAGGAGAAGGAAGAAAGGAAAACTGAACATGTCATACACAAATACTTTTTCTGAAGTATTGTATTTACACAAAATTAGAGAGATTACAAATACTTTACTAAGGAGACAAAGTCATGATAAAGCACATTCAGCTTTAACACTAGCCAGCTATAGGTGCAGAACATGGAGGCCTAATTTACTTGCATGGCAATAGAGCATTAGAAAGGCCTCAACTTTTGAAAGCAGAGGATAACATGATGACATTGTATTTGTTATGCAGTATGAGCCTTTTCATTGACTTCAGTGAGATTTTAATAGGGCCCTATAATCCTCTCAGATTGCAAATAATGGGCTCAGTCCTTCAAGCTGCTGAACACCTGACCCTGGTCCTGCAAAGTGCTTAAACATATGCTTAACTTTAATCATGTGCATAGTCCCATTGACTTCAATAGGACTTACGTAAGTGCTTAAAGTAAACCACATGCTTAAGTGCTTTGCTGAATCAAAATCAGAATTCTCAGCTTTTTGCAGGATCAAGGCCAATATTCTATCCCTAATTTTAATGCTACTATAACCTAAAAAATAAAGACAAACTCTATACTTTGTCTTGTAGGTATTCTTCTTCTTAAAAATACATTTTAAAATTGATTTTGTTTGGCTACAAAACATTAATTTATTGAGCTCCACAGAACACTGCTCATTCATATCCATTATAGCATATAATTGATGGACTACTGTTCATAATTTGTTCCAGTATTTACCAAAAGACTTTTTAGATGAATAATAATAATAATAATAATAATAATAATAATAAATAATAATTAAGCAGTAATAAAGTAATTAAATAGGTAAATCAAAGGCAAAAGCTCATACCATATTGCTGCTATTCACCAAATTTACCTGATGTGTGAAAGATTTTTCCCCATTATATTTTCTTTAAAAATAATTACTCTCTTTTATCCTGGTATATGTTATCAGATAGCTCTTGAACAAAAAATATCTTAAATATAGTGTCACTTCTACAAACTAATTGTCCTGATTTCCTCCTAGTGAAAGGTATGTTGAGTGGACCTGGCTCAGTGACATAAATTACAATGCTAGTTAACTAAACTCTGATTATGTCTTTGTTGCTGTCACTGCGATTATTGTAATTATGTGGTATCACAAAAGTGCTAAATATTAGTAAATCAGATACATAGTAACAAGATAACTTTGGTTATGCTTGATAAAATACTGGCATACTGAATACACATACTACTTTTAAAGTTTATGTTACAATCATGTTGTCTTATAATAAATAATAATAATCTCATTTTCAAAGTGCCCATCCATAATACCCATTCTAGGCATCAATACATCAAGCCATCAATTAAAATACTCTTTTAAAATGTTCTAAAACTGAGACAAATCCAGGATTGCAGATGCAAATATACTGTACAAATGGTGCTCCAACTATCTGTTCATGCCCTAGGCTCCAATGGTCGCAGAATCTTTATTTTAAGAGAGTAGTATGCTGGATCCTCTGTAAAATACCAGGACACGGCATCTGGAATGTTATAGGCTTTAAAAGTTAAACCCCAAACCTTGAACTTACTCCACTTGCCAAGAAGCAGTCAGTGCAGAAGGCAAAGTAGTGGCCTGGCAGAATCACCTCTGCCCATCCCTGACAGTCTCTCTGTGGCTTCATTCTGTACTAAATGCAGACAATGGAAGAGCCTGTTTTGAAAGCCCACAATCAAATGCACTACAGGAATCCAGGTTTCATATCCAAAAGGTATGCTTCACCATTGTCCAGTCAACACGTGATAGATCAGGTGATATCCTTCTGGTGGCAAAAGTCAGACCTAACTTGAAGACTAATGACTGTCAGGATGTTAGCATGTTCTGTGTAAGCAATAATCATTTTCAGTGTCTAGAGAGCTGTTGTAGCCAGATGAAGGATACAGATCCCTTTTAAGTATCCTATTGACAATGTTGATCATGACTTTCTTGTACTGTTGACGTAAAAGAGAATAAACAAATGGATCTGATGCAGCCTTACTGTAGGTGAGGCACTTGCTTACAATCCCCCAGTAGTAGTTTATGGTAACAAAAGGAAGAAGTTCTATCAACCTGTTAATCATTAACAAAGAGGAAAAGCTGAATGTTACATCCACACTAGCAACCTGTTCAACTCACATTTTCAGGCATAATAGCATCTTAAGAATTAATTTTTATACTATGCAGCACCTGAGGGGATGATCCTGCAGTCATTACACAGGTAAATTTATGGGAGATTTTCCTGAGTAAGGACGGCCATGAGGAGGAAAAAGTGTTTTAACTATATATTTAAACACTGAGGTCACATACTCCCATGTCTTGTATACAAAGAAGTGTAGCAACTTATTGCAAAACCTTCTGCCTAATTCTACTTGGTGAGCTGTCCTAGCAATTGGCAATATATTCAAGATCTCAGTGCTGTCTGACAAGGTTTTGCCTTCCTGACTGCTTCCCTCTCCCTAGGCAAGCTGTAGAAAGACGTGTAAGATGTACTATAGAATATGGAGCTATATATTAATATATCCTTATGTAATGATATTGTGAAATGTCATGTATGAAGAAAGAATACATGATGCATTGGTGTGATATAAAGCACCTCAAGATAATACACATTGTCTCATGAACATTTGCTCTCATTCTGGATCATTCAGACTACTTCCCCTCTCTTTTGCAATCACAAGATATCTGTGTGCAAACTACTGCAATTGTTTACTTGGAAAAGTGAAATGAAGAAAGTATTTATGCATTTTTAACTGTCTGTTAAGGTTATTTAACAGATGGAAACAAGGAAGAGATGTCATTGCTATGTGACCAACTACCTGTCTTTAGACCACCACCATGTGCTCTGTGAATCACCAGTAGTCACTGAACCACAGGTTTGGAATCTTGGGCATAAAGGCTTTGTCAGCATGAGTTTGGTGCATTAATCATGAGTGAGCAGCGAGTCTGTCATGGAGGTCATGGAAGTCACGTATTCTGTGACTTTCTGGGATCTCTGTGACTTCTGCAGTGGCTGGTGCGGCTGACCCAGGGACCGCCTGAGCAACTCGGCTGGCCCCTGGGCCAGCTGCACTGACTGCTGCTGGGGCAGTCTCAGGCCACGGCACCCCACCCCCAATGCCGCCCCCAGCAGCAGCAGAAGTTTTGATGTGTGAGGGGGCTCAGGGCTGAGGCAGAGGGTTGGGCTTTGGGTGCAAGAGGGGGTGAGGGCTTGGGGGGGAGGGCTCCCCGGAAGCAGCAACATGTCCCTCCCTTGGCTCCTAGGCAGAGGTGTGGCCTGGCGGCTATGCGCACTGCCTCTGCCTGCAGGCACTGCCTCCTGCAGCTACCATTGGCCACGGTGCCCTGCCAGCCCTCACCTCCCCATCAGCAGCAGCGGGGGTCCCAGGCCGCTCCCTCAGAGCACCACAGTGCCCCTGGGCCACCCTCCCCAGACCATCCACAGTGCTTCGGGGCCACCTCAGGGGTATATAGTACAAGTCATGGACAGGTCACAGTCCGTGAATTTTTGTTTATGGCCCGTGACCTGCCCATGCCTTTTACTAAAAATACCTGTGACTAAAATGTAGCCTTAATCATGAGTGGTGAAACTGTAACTGAGTTAAGAAAGTCATCTCACCATACTATAACATCATGTATTCTGCGTATGTCACATCTGCTACCGAAAAACTCTTTTAATAAAGTGGAGAGGTTTCTTTACAAAATTATTTGTACAATTTTTCATATCTATTCACCCACAAAGCCTTAATTACCATGGGGCCACCTGCACAGAGCTCAGAAGACACCATAAATACCTTTGAGACTGACCTAACCTAGCTTTTCTATACATTAAAATGTAATGATTTCGAAGTGTGATCTCCCAGGCATTCCCAGACCTAGGAATGAGGTCTTGGTCTCTTTAGGAAGCTTGGAATTTCCCTTTTCTTGTAGTACAAAGCTCTCATTTTTCAGGGCTGAAGAATACTGGATTTTAAAGTTATATGCCTATAAAACCTGGCACACATCCAGGACAGAATCTTGCCCATCCTGGGCCTCAGATAGGTGAAATACTGCAGCAAATTCCACAGATATGTGTGTGTGCATAGGGTGGGGAGGGAAGAACACTTCTCTGGCAAGTGGATTTAAAGAAGGTAGCTGATATCTGTAGCTGCTCCAGGGCTTGGAATGTTAGAACAAGTCTCAGGGAGATGGATTAATGACAGAAAGCAAGCAAGGAGGTCAAAAATTGCATTATAAATAAGTGTATCATGTGGATCTGCATTTTATCACATGGTACATGGTTCCTCAGTTTGTCCTATCTTGGATATCACCTCCACATATGGTACATATGCTTGATCTGTACAAAATGAATATTTTTGTAGAACACTGTCAAACAGAAGAACTGTATATATAGATATACTTGAGTGTGTCTGTGTATGATATAATAGATTATGGTCCCATAATCTAAAGAAAATGGAAAAACTCCCATTGACCCCAGTGACATAAAGCTATCCCATTGATAGCAATGCTGTTATAGTAAGGATGAACTCCATCCATTGGGTTTAGTCCCAACAGACAGAATTTATTGTTGATTTCCAAAATCTCAGTAACATTTCTGAAGTTAGGGGTAAATCCTGATCTCAGGGCATAGCCTGAGTAGCCAGACAATGTGCTGGGGAATCTTCTATTCCAGAGCATCCATGAAGACTATTCTAACTCAAAGGCTGGTGTGGTCTCTGTGGACCCGACACAGCCCATCAAGTGGGGAAAGAACAGAAGGTCTGCATGGCAACCAATATTCCAGCCCTACCCCAACCTTCCCCCTGGCCTAACCCTGCAAGGACCCCTCATAGATGCCTATGTAGCCCTCCCCAAATCCTTTCCATTCTGCTGCCTTCTGAGGCCATGGGAGCAGGGACAGAATTCACCCCTTGATAAGTGCATTTTAATTTTCTCGCTACTGACGTACGCAGTGTCACTTAGTGCATTAAGAAAATGCATTAGCTGACATTTACAAAACACCTTGTCTGGGGAATGGAATGGCTTTTTGTTTCAATTGTTTATGGGAAATATTTCAGAATTAAAAAGTGTCTGGAGGCCGGAATTTACTGAACAGGGTATAATACAGCCTGAATGAAAATGGCAGAATCCATCCTTTGCTTGGTATAGAGTTTTAGCTTGATGGTCATAATAATGAACAGAAAATGACTCATAAGGTACTGAACATTAATCAATTAACCTTTTAACTTTCTGGTGTCAAGTTAATAATTGTTACAATTCTTCTAGAAGAAGAGGAAATGCAGCTGCCTAGCCAATCAAGCAAGAACCTTTCAACTAATAAAAAAGTGAAATAATAAAACGTGTCATCTCAAAAGTTAAAACATACATAAGCAAAGGCTGGTAAAATTGAGAACAATTTATATGTTCCGTCCTTCAAAGTCTTCCTTGGTCCAGCTGTCCCATTGAAGCCAAGTGTGGTAGGAACAGGGTGAGTGACGACGATAGAATATGGCCCTAATTATGCAAAATCAGCATACCAAAATCAAGATTTTGAAAAGTTAGTAGTGTTTTGGGTGTCTCAGTGCTTGGGTCTCCAGCCTGATGTGTCTTCAAAGGGCCTGATTTTAAGAAGATAGATGCTCAACACTTTCTAAAAATCAGATCCCTTCAAGGTATCATAAATTGGCCACCCATAAAATTCAGGCTCCCACAAAAAACAAGTCACTTTTGAAAATCATGACTCAGTTTCATCCATGTTAAAAATGATGGGCTGGATTCTCAGTTGGTGTAAATCAGTGTAGCTCCATTGGCTTCTACCCTGCTGATTGACACCAGCTGAAGATCTAGTCTGCTGACATTTTAACTAACCTCTCATTTAAACTGGATATTTCTTAGTGTTTAGGAGCTGACGCTTCCTGGAAAACTATCCTGCACCATTGAAGTTAGTGGGAGTTTTGCCACTGACTTCCATGGGCACAGGATTAATCCTAGATTATTTCATTAATAATATTTCCCGGCATAGAAACTATGGGCCAGATCATCAGCTGGTGCAAATCTTTGTGGTGCCATTTGAGTCAATGAGCTTCAACCAGTTGAGGATCTAGTCATATGCCTCTGAAAAGCATATATATATATAGGAAAAACTGTCCTTGCTTTACTGTTTATTTTATCCTTCAGTGCCTGAGTCCATCTTTGGACTAAATAATGGAGGTGCTGATGATAAGCCAAACTGCTAAAAAAAAAAACCAATGGGATGTGATGAACTCCTGGTTTCAGTCCTAAAAGCCCACTCTTTCTGAAAGAGGCATCTATACCTTGTTGTAAAAGAGAAACAAAAAGATCTTACAAGACTGCAACGTCTCATATTACTTTATCGGTTTACCAATTAATTTGGTTTAGCATGATTTGGCTCCCTGTGTTTATATGTTCATATTTCCCCAAATCTATTACCCTTCCCCCAACCCAATATCCCTAATACTTTTAAGGAAGGTTTGTTTGTTTATTGTTATCATCTCAATGTCTTTTTGCTGTCCCAGGAATCTTGGGGTAGTTTATTCTTGATGACATATTGCCCGCAAAGGCTCCCGGAAGAGGCAGGGAGTACTAACCTGGTGATAATGTAAGGAGCAAAGCAGATCACGAAAGACCCTATAAAAATACTGATTTTCTTAGTAGCCCGCTGCCGCCTCCTTTTCTGCTCATTAAGACAACGCTGTTTGACGCTGAAAAGGGAAAATAACAATCACTGCGTTAAGACAAGACGCGAGGAGACTTTTGAGCCAACAGTAAAGTCTGCCATAGAGACTCGGTTTCAGGTGCGGGAACTTGTCAAATGAAGGGTATGAGACCGAACAAAAGCCCTGAACCCACCAACCCTCTGGATACTGTTAGCGACATAAACACCCATGAGGGACTCAGCCATTCAGTGTCCTGGGTTTTCTGGGAACCTTCGCTTCCCATTTAAACAAAGCTGACTATCAATATTTAGCCACAAGCTTCTGACAGTAAATGAACAGATGAATTAATTAAACAGTCTTTGAAGTTAGAAAAGAAACGCTGCACGAGAAGGGGCCATCGTGTCTGCAGGACATGAATGAAGACGCCAAAAGGTGCTCAGGAAAGCAAGACGTGGCTTTTGGGTCCTTAAGGGAGAGGGTGATTTAAAACACATCGGAATTAACACACACACACACACACACACACACATACACACACACACATTACCTGGGATGGATATCTACCAGCAAAACCAGCGTTTGCATTGTAATAATGTCTATCCTTTTGCAGTGGAACCTGGCCACTTTAAACACCTTTAAGTAGGTGAAACACAGTATCACCAGGGACAGCATGAAACTGGTGGCGTGGAACACGATGGTGAACACGGTAAACCTCCTCCTCTCCGTCTCTTCTCCCAGGTGCAAGGTGCAAGAGGCGTACACGTTGCTATAATCTACCCAAGAGAAAAACAAGGAGACCAAAGGGAAGGTCAAGGAATGAATCCAGGAATAGCTCATCAGAATCACGGCGTCTTTGTACCGCATCTTGCTGGTGTAACTCAAGGGGAACACCACGGCAATCCACTTGTCTATACTGAGGGCTGCCATGCTCAGCATGGTGTTGGAGGTGAGGAAAGTTTCTAGGAAGCCCACCGCTTTGCAGATGCAGTCACCGACGGGCGGCTGGTTTCTCAGGATCCCCAGCAAAGTGAAGGGCATGTTTAAGACTGTCAGGAGCAGGTTGCAGAAGGACAAGTTCACCAGGAAGACCCCGGGGACTTGCTTGCGGAGCTCGGTACTGTAGATGAAGCATAGCAGCACCAGCAGGTTGGACAGCAGAGAAATAACGAGCACCAACACCAGGAAAAAAGCCAAGAGAACTCCTGCCAAGTCCATTTCTTACCAGGTAGCCATGCGCCCCTTGGTGAGCAGAGGGTAGGCGTCAGAGATGGAGCGGCAAGGGGACATGGCAGGTGCCTCTCGGGGGGACTTCCAGAGATTCCCAGGCATGTTGGTGGAGACTCTGGGTGGATCTGAAGCTCAGGCTGCCGGAAAGCACAGGCGACCGGCCAGCCGGCGCTGTCCAGGGTCCTGAAACGATCCCACCCTCTCCCCAGGTCGCGCCCGACCTGCCCGCTTCAAACCGCAGGCAGAAGTTCCTCCTTTCCCATTCCCCGACCGACCGACCCGGGCACCGGGGGGAGGCACCTGCTCAGCTCCCAGCGAGCCCCTCCAGCTTCTCTCCGGCCGCTCGACAACTCCGGAGCTCAGTCCCTGAAATAGTCAAACCTCCCCAGCCTCCCGGGGTGACTCATGCGCAGACGGGGAGCTGCGAGCCACAGCCTCACTCAGGGAGCGCGGAGCAGCTTTGCCTCCCCTCTTTGCTCAGCACAGATCATCTGAGATAGCCGCCGGCCAGCAAGGGCGAGACAAACTTCCCCCTAGCCCGCGGCAGAGGAGGGATCCGTGCAGCAAGCTGCCAATTAGTTATTAATCCTTTAGCGATTAATAATGCTCATTCATCACCGGCAAGGTGCCTGGTGTTTTGCAAGACACGCCAGTATCCTAGTAGTTATGATGGCTGTGGGGGGGAGGGGGTTATTTCATTTATTAGTGTTTGGGAGGGGGATGTGGCTGTAGCCAACTTGGCCCTCATGTACCAGAGCAGGTTTCCCCTGCTCGTTTTGAGTGATGTCTTCTCTGGCACCATTTCCCCTACCTCCTCAAAGAGCCTACAAATGCAGTCAGCATTCAGGGACGAGCATAATTTCCCATGGGTCATCACCAGAACAAAGAAATCCAGCAGTGGGGAGTGTTAATGTACCGTACAACCTGAGCCCCGCTACCTCTGGACTAACCCTTCTATTAAACCTGTAGACACTGTTGGCTAAGGAAGTGACAGGCCCAAGGCTCTGATAGCACTTTCAGTAGACACCTAAGGTCTCTCTGAAACCATTTTCAAATCAAACTGTTAGTCGATAGGGAAAATATTTTCATAGTTAGAAGACTCCGTTCTTTTTCTTTCATCTAATAGTCACAGGGGAGAGCCGAACAAGATTTTAAAAGGCATACTTAAGGAAGACCCACAGTACTTTAGGGAAAGTTTAGGGGTTATTGGCAGAAATGACGTGGACAGAGACTGTCCCTACATGCTTCACAAAAGGTTGATCACACAGAGACACCACAAGACTTATCCTTACATAAGAAAGAAATGCATTTATTTTGTTGCATCAAAACAGTGGCACAGAAATAAATTGCCAGGTCTAACCACTGTCACATTTTTCAGTTGATCTCCAGTGCTGAAAGGAAGAAAGAAGAGAGAGAGCTTGCTTGCCACCAAAAATGAGCATTATGATCCTAAGAAGATGGTGCAATACATATGCAATTACACAATGCAGACTTGTAAAGTACATGTTCCCACAGTAGGAATAATGTTATTTTTAAAATGCTCTTTAAGGGCCTGATCTAAAGCCCATGGAAGTCAACAGGAATCTTTCCATTGATTTCTGTGGGGTTTGGAACAGGTTCTAATTGAAAGGGTTGCCATGGTAAGGTTTTATGTTTTAATGAAAGCACAGAGCAGGGTAGCATGAAGTGTGTTATCTGGAAATGTGTGCTGTGTTATACCTGAGGACAACACTGAAGTAGGATGAATGTTTTCTCTCATTAGTAAGGTGTCACTTCCCAAGTCACAAAATGGTGAATAAATCTGACTGTCAATATAGTTGTAAATTCATATCAATGTTTCAAAAAATCCTATGAAAGAGAGAGAATAACATGAACACCTTTGCTGCACAGCCTGTGAGTTGGGCTTCTAAATCTGTAGCTTCAGGGGGCCACTCAAAGCCAGAGCTGGTAGAGGGCCTGCAGGGAAAGAACCATCATTTAAAGAGCCTTGTGTATCCATGAAGAGCAGTGGTTCTCAACTTATTACATATCATGATCCCTTTTTCCACACCAAGACCTCTCCAGGACTCCACTCCCATCTAGCTGGGGTTAGCCATGACCCCCCATTCCATTTAGTAATATTGGAAGAGTAGGGGGCTTGTAAATGTCTGACACCTGATGTTAGTGACCTCCTGTTTAGTATTGTGAAGTGAAGCAGCTCTAACTTTTAATTATGACAAGGCCAACTATATATATGTATAACACTCTCCTACAACATCTTCAAGAGCAGCCCTTTTCTGTCAGTTCCAAATGGAGGTGGAAGGACGGCTATAGATATATAATCATGTGTCTACACAGTTTTTGAAAATTTCCCCCTAAAACCTTTTGTCTAAAGCAGTGATACTCAGACCTCAGTGGTTCAGGACCTAAATTAGTGATCAACATTACCCAAAAGAGCCACAGTAGTGTGAATCCATTGTTTCATTTAATATGGTACTATATTCTCATATTTAAACAGTATGACAGGAAAATATTCTCACAGCAGAAGGACTGAACCAAGTGTTATTACTTTATCAACTGAAGTTGGTTAATAACATAGTAAAAGCCTCCTTTTTGGTTAATGACTTAGACTGGTTAATAATTAAATCACACAGATTTTTAATATCATGTGCCGCAAAGAGCAGCGGGAGATACATTAAAGAGCCCCTTGCGGTTCCTAAGCCTCAGTCTGAGTATCACTGCTCTAAAACAAACTTTTCAGAGGAAGAATGGATTGTTTCTATATACTGGCAAAGAGATGAATAAATTAAAACAAGCTGGAAAAAATGGGAACAGAAGCAGGAAGTAAAACAAAGAAATCAGAGTTCTTGTTAGATACGTATGTCTCCACCTTGCAAAGACTTATGCATGTACTTAACTTTATGAGTCCCTTTGGGTGAAATCCTCGCCCCAGAGAGATCAATGCAAGTTTTGTAAATGGGCTAGGATTTCACCCTTTGACTTTTGTGGGCTTGCTCACAGTGTGTAAAGTTAAGCAAGTGTATACATTTCTGCCTTATATTGGACTGTCTATATTAATACATTCACACCAGTCACTACAATATTCATTCCACTTCACTTCTGATTCATGCACACATGTACCACCATAAGACAAGGGTCACACTAACCAAACCCATACTCTATTCAGAATGTCTTTTCTCTGACCCACCTTGCAATATTTCAGCGTGTTTGTGTTCTTTGAACCCACACCTCTCTCTCTGTGTCCCTCTCAAAGGCCTGAGACTGTTGCTCATTTTCCCTACTTTACAACCTCTGAAAAATTCTGTTCACATAATTTCCTAAAGGTATTTATTGCAGTTTTATGATGGGCTTCCTAGTTTTGTTACAGTTTCCTTACACACAGATACTCAGACACAAACATAAAACTAAACCCAGAAGATTATATTTAAATAATTTTTATCAATGCCAATTGTTAACTCACATGAATATAACTGGAAAGAGACTGGAGGTTGTTTGGGATAAGGATGGTCTCTTAGGCCTTAACTACACTACATGAATAACATAGCTGGAGTCGACATAGCTTAGGTCAACTTACTGCAGGGTCTACAACATGCTGCATCAATGGGAGATGCTCTCCCGTCTACTTCCCTTACTCCGGTGGAGTACTGGAGTTGACGGGAGAGTGATCTGAGGTTGATTTAGTGGGTCTTCACTAGACCCACTAAATCGACCCCAGGTCCATCGATCACCGCAGTGTCGATCCCCCGGTAAGTGTAAACATGCCCTTAGGCCGTAATCCTGCAGAGACTTATGCACATGCTTCAATTTATGCATGTAAACAGTCGCATTTAAAATTGACAGAACTACTCATGTGAGTTAAGTAAAACAAGTGTTAGCAGGATCAGGCCCTTACTGTATGTTTGTTCAGCACTGAGCACAATGGGCCCCAGTCTTCACTGGGATCTCTGGGGAGTACTGTAATACAAATCATAAATAAGAACAAGTTGTTTATAATTCATTATTCCTTAAAAGTAGATACCATCCAGTAGACACAAATCAGATAATTACTTTGTTCTTTTTCTTTTAATGGATGCATACATTCTTAAATCTTCACACTAGTCCATTCTAAATATTGACTACATTTTATTTGATTTAGTGTTAATGGACTGCATTAATTGGAAAGGAATAAGGGATGATTCAAATTCTCTTTGAGTTTCACACCAGGAGAGATGTGTCATGCAAAATTCCAATATAGATCACAGCTGAACATAATGTAGCTGTAATCTGTGCATTTTGCAATAGCTAGGAATGCATTCAATTTGCTTCTATTTTTAATGAAGGACAGTGAAACAGGAAGAAGACCTCAGACAAATTGCATCAAATTATGTGCACGTATAGGCAGGGATGAGGACGGAGGGGAAACTTTTCACTTCCTTGCAAATTCTTTTTCTTTCTTTCTTTCTTTCTTTCTTTCTTTCTTTCTTTCTTTCTTTCTTTCTTTCTTTCTTTCTTTCATTGGCAGGGTTAAATTAAATGAACTGTATCGTGAAATGGAATGACTCAGGAGACTGTTAGTGAGAACAGTACCTTTAACCTATAGGTCACTGGTTTAAATATGGCCCAGGTCAGGAGTGAGCAAAAGTCGTAACCATGTGACTGGTTTTCAAATGTAGAATGATGTAGTGGTCTCAGTGCACTTATCAATGGACAGACATGAATGTCATGTAATCCTCATCACCGCCATTATAACAAGGCATGTTGGTATCGTATCACTGGTTTTAATTAGTGCTACAGCATTAGCATTGCTAGCTTAATTTGCACAATCCCACCCAAGCAGCAGCAGAGCCTTGTTCTATGTATTCCTTCCTCTATTCCAGTGTCCTGTTTCATCATGACTGATTTGGATTGTAGGCTGTTTGGGGCAAGCAGTGTGTCCTTATCTGCTAGGTAAAGTACTATGCATACCTCTAATGCTATATAGAAATATGAAATAATCAAATAAATAGCAATACGATACATAATGATAATGGTATGCTAATTAACACATCAGCAACTGCAGTAGAAAATCCATAAGCCTTATTCATCAGTCTAATGCAATTCCTTTACCTTGCACTCCAGCCCACAATGGCAGATTTAGTACCTGGGGAATAGCCTCATTGTAAAGATATTCCTCATGTCGCGTAGACAGTGTAAGACCTCTACACTGTTCTCTCTTGCAAACCCCAGCATAGGATAGGAAGAAGAGAAGCAGAAGAACATACACATATATTCTAAGAAACAGTCTTCTCTAACAGGGAAAGGAGAAGAACAGAAAATTCATGAAGTCCACTAGGCAACTTGCCATGCAGACTGAATTTACCTGGGAAACTCAGATATTATACTGATGT